AGGCTTCAGCACCGCTATGATTTCGGTAAATAGCGAGGTTGGTTTCCCCGCCTTAGAGAAAGGTACGTTTTGTTCTGTAAGTCTGGAAAAAGCCCTTTTGTTGAGTGTGGGGAGGTTTGTGCAGGCAACTCAATGTTTTGGTGCCGTTCTAATAGGAGAAGTTGGCAGAGAGGCTTCCCCCATGTGCCGCTGGGAGCTCTTCTCACTCAAATTTGTATGTTTTAAGGCCTTTTTACATCTTCAAATCTCACCGGAAAACACACAAAGGTGTGTTTTTCTTCTTATTCTTTTTCTCTCTCTTTATTTTTTTTTCCTGTGTAACTAAAGGCCATTTAATATGGTCCATGTGGTGTAATATTTGTGAGGTTTTAGTGAAAAAGCTGTGTTTTGCATGCCAGGAGGCACTGAATGCAGCTGCAGGACCTCAGATTACGTAAAATTCTTGTGGGATTTACTCAGTCTTGTATTCTTGTCATGTTTCAATTGTACTGTAGCAATATAATGGCACAAACAAACGCAGCTTGAAATTATGTCCCAAACTGAAATGTTTACAAAACTCAAAATGTAAAAGCTAAAACGTAAGACCCAAAACGTGAATCTCCCCCAGAGATTAACAGAATTGGTTGTCTAAAATTAAACTGAGATGAACAGAACTGAATAAAATGAAGTGTGCATGTAAATACTGGTAGGACTTTGGTGCAAAATAGTGACAATGTCAATCACTGTCAGCCTGAGCAATTTTGAATCATAATAACCCCCGATTTTTCTTAGGTTTTGTGGGTTTTTTTAAAAAGCTGCTGATAATTGTAGCACCGGATTCAGATTTCTTAAGTTTAAATAAATGTTACTGGAAAGTAATAATTTTTAAATGAAGTTGCAATAAAAATACAAATTTTATGTTTCATGCTACATGCAGCCTAGACCTTGCAGCATCAGAACTTGCATGTGGAACTGTTTAGAAACAAAACTGAGCGGTTTAATTATTCTAATGAAGTAGAAAAAGAAAATAGGCCACTCTGATAAAGGCAATCACTGAGTTAGAATATAAAATTTTATCGAACATACAGACTTGATGGAATTTACTTGCAAATATTAAAGCGTTATGACTGATATTTAGAAAAAGATGTGCGAGCATTTCAGTAGATAACCTAAGTCAGAACATTAGTTGCTGTTTGATGCTTCGGTTTTATTACAGAATTCTTGGTTATGCTGAAATGTCTTGTTAAAAAAAAAAAAAAAAAAGCTGTGGAGCGAGTGTTTCTCAGTGCTGTTCCTTTCCCTGCCTGTAATGCTGCGGTCCTCACTGGAATCGGAGGACGATTCCCACTGCTGTCGGTGGCAGCTGAAGCAAGGCCCTGTATAACTGCACCCATTCAGTACGAAAATAGGCTCCAAACCAGACATTCTAGGAAATGCTTTAAGCCTTTTTTTTTTTTTCTCCTTTCTTTCTCCCCATATTTTTGATGTAGGGGGAAGGCTGGTGTGGTTGCAAGTGAGGTGTGCTGCGTTTGTGGCTTTCGTTGGTTGTCGTGCTTGTGTTTCCTGCAGGTTTTGTCTGTTCTGCAGTCCTCTAGGCTAGTCAGGAACCTGTGGGAATGTGCTTGAGGAGGAGATTTAACTTCCCTGCCGAGACACTAATTTAAGCTGACTAGTTGAAACTACTGGTATGGTTTTTATGTCTGTGCTGACTCAACCATTATGGACACCAGGCTGCTGGAGCCAAACCTTTCTGGTGCCTGTATGGATCATAAATAAGCCAAAAGAAATAGATGTGGAGTGTTTTAATTGGCAATTTTCTGACCATGCTTTATTTCCTTTTTTTTTTTTGGCATCTAAAATAGGTTTCATAGTTGCAATTTTGTCTGTGAAAGGGGATTTAAGGAAATCAACATGCATTTATAAACTCTTTAAATCCTTGTAACATTGCTATAAAAACGCAATGTTTTGTGACTGCATAGCTGTGATAAATTTTCCTCTCTGTCCTGTTTATTTTCAGAATATGCTTGAAGAACTATTAATTCATAAGCCCGATGATCCCATTCAGTTTATGATAAACCATTTAAAGCAAAACAACGATGATGGTAAGTGAAAACTGAGACTCCATAAATAGTTCAATTCCTTATTTGTAAACAGCTGTTTGAAAGCTGCACTTTCACTTGGCAGGTGATGGATAAAACTTTTCAGACTGTGTCTTGAGGGGGGGTGGGGGAAAAGAAAAAGATGAGCGTTTTGGAATAGTTATGGGTAAGGTTCTTTTAATTTCTTTTTTAGTGGATAATCTAATAAAAAATGCACTTTAACAGTTATAACAATGAAACCCTCTAAGGGAATAACAAAGAGTTCTGGTGTATCAATTATTAATGTGTTGTGTGCCCCATCTGATATTTCCTGTTGTCTTTAAGCTCACTAATTACTCCTTTTGTCAGGTGTAAATTTGGTTTCTTATTCTACCTGGGCTGGCAGTTTCTCTGTTTTTTGATTAGTTAGTTACTTGCTGCTGTTAATGAGTTCCACTACTCAGTGGCATCTCAGCTGAAGGAACCGTGAGCGTGCCTACTGCTATGTGTAACAAAACCTGATAAATTGAATAGGAAGTCTGTATTCTGCACAATAAAAGCATGTACACTCAATCAAATTATTTGATTTACAAACCGTTCACCCTTAGGCAGATTATCTTTGGATATGCACAACTGCACTATAATTTTTGTTCTGCATGAGCTGTCAGGGGTAGCTGGTGTCATGTTGCTTTGATGTTTCTTTAAAACCATAGTAAACCATTATGAAAGTTCTGCTGCAGCATCAATGAAGTCATTATCACTGGAGGTGCTCTGAGCTCTTAGTGGTGCTGAGCAGATGGATGTTGATTGAAATGCTGCTAAATATATTTAAAAAAAATAAATAATCAAGTCCTGCAAATTGTGTCCAGCCTTTTCTGATGCAGGCAGCATGAGTAATCAATCTGTTTTATAGACCCGTGGAAAATAAGCGGAAGAATTTCATTTGGTTTGATAAAATGCTGATAAAATTTCTTCACACTGAGCTAACATTTGTCCTTAAGCCTCACAGCATTATTTGAACAGAAGTAGACAGGTTTCCATTTCCTGACTTCAGTACTTAGAGGCTAAAGATAGAACTACAGCAGTCGTTTGTCAAAGGAGAAAGGCTGTCTGCTTTTGGTCTAGAAAAACCTATTAAGAAAGAAGAGGAACTTCAATTAAAATTAAAGCCTAAATGTTGTTTTAAGAATAAATTATATGGAAAATAATGTAACAGAAATCGGTAGCAGAGTTGATTTTACTTTTTGATCATGGCGGAAGGTGCTGACTATTTAGAAGAAAAAAACCTTATTAGAGCCATCAGTAAAGTGATGAATTTTCATGATCTTGCCTTGCTAGACAGTTTTAGCCCTAGAGAAAATTTCAAACAGAGATGTGTGGAAAAGAAGCGTTGTGTCTGTCCCAGGTGTGAAGTTAGAAAACCTTTTAAATTAATAATAGGATCTAAAGCACTCTTAAAAATATAAACAAGTCTAATGATGATTATAGCTTACAACTGTCCTCAAAATCTCGTAGGTCAAATGTGTGGCTAAGTGTTTGTGCTTAAGGCTCTGTACTATCGTTCTTTAATGTGTTCCTTCTAAAAACCTTAAAGAACCGTATGAAGACTGATAATTCTTTTCTACACGAAGATTCTGGTTTTCTGCATTGTATCCTGGTCTGTGCTAATGAAAAAGTTTCAGGATCCAAGTGGTGTTTCTGCGAGTTCAAACCTCTGAAGAAATGTAAAAAAAGTTCTGCAAGAGTGTTTGTCGTGTCCTATGTGCTTTCCCTGTTTGACAAAGGATTTCTCTTCCAAGCTAAGCAAATTTTGTTGCATTAATTTTAATCATAGAATCTTTTGGACTTAAATGAAGCTCAGTGTGTCCAGCTGTTCTTTTGCATTATTCCAGGATTAATTTTGTAATTATGAAAATCATTGCTGAACATTACAACTTGGAAGAGTAAATCCTGTAACATCTCATCAAGACTAATGTCATGGAATGAAATATGATTCATTACTGAAGAAAAATATTAAGTAAAATATAAAGTATTAAATACTGACTATTTTCTGATTGGAGGGGGTTAAATATTACATACAGTGGTGTCGTGGTTGTGCCCTTGTGTCATATGTTTAGGGAGAATGCTTTAGAGGAGTCTTACAACTGTGCAAATGAGTAAATCAGTGAATTACGCTGCCCCATCTGTTGCCAGCCACTAAGCAGAGAGAAAACCAGATTTAGTACAAAGTGAGCATTTACAGTAGCCCTGGGCAATATTAAAGCATGATATGGTGTATATAATGGTATGTTTCGTTTTTTATCAAACGTTTGTCCAAGAAAGCTGTGTATTAAAGCTTCAATACCTAAGGGTTTTCTTGTGAATTTTAAATCATGCTCCTAGTTAAACCTCAAAAGGATCTGTGGATGGAAAGGTTTTTTGATTTTCTTTGAAGTGGTTTGAAGAAGTTGATTAGTGTTGGCACCCGAGCACTCTTTTATGACGCTGTTTATAAATAATTCCTAAGTACCGGGCTGGAGTTTCAAGGTGTTAGATTAAAAAAAAAAACCCTAGGATTTAATCACATTACATTTGAAAGAAATTAGGTGATAAAAACAGCTGATGTATCCTTTTAAAGTATTTTTCTACATTGTGTACTAGTTCTGTTGCACTTGCAAGAACCAATAAGGGGGGAGTTTTTCTTAAACCTTCCAAGTCAAATAACTTTGTAAAGATGAATCTGTAATTTGGGTTTCATGTATGTTTAAAAATTGCACCTGCCCAATAACTGTTAAGTGCAGGGAAGGCCTCATAAAAATACGTTTCACATCCTTCCCTGTCTGCTGCCATCAGACACTCTGTCTTCCTTGGTTATCAAGAGCTGCAGAGGTTTTTGGGTGAGTAGATCCCTCCTCTGTTTTGACCTGCATTACTCCCCGTAAATACTCATTGGTCCCTTCTCTCTATAGTCTGGTTTGGTTTAGGTTTTTTTTCCCCCCCGAGGTGTAGGGGAAAAACATCAAAGATGTTAATATAAAATGACAGCTCAAGGGATTACAGCCCCAGGTGTGTTTGTGGAAAAAGTCCCAAATACTTTCCTAGCAGTTGCTCAATTTTCCCCTTGTTTGTCTTGCCCCTAATTCATTCCCAATGAAGCTTGCAACTGTAACGTTGTCTCTGTGTGTTAGATTAAGAATTCCTCAGAACTGGACGTGTTTTTCCCACCTTGCCCCCTCAGGGAAAGGAGAGGAACACACAGGAAAGAAACGCAAAACACAAAGACAAAGAAAATTACTTTGAATAATGGCTAGAAAAATTGAAGATAGAGAGAGAGTGTTTAATTTTGCAATATCTAAATCTTCTCTGAACCTTGACACAACCTATTTAGATGAAACTAAAAGGTGAGATTACATTTTTTGTGATGAGAGGCCAAAGTTTTGCCAAAGTATCTTTACTGTCATACTTTGTAAGGGAAATAAGAGATTATCTCAAGAAGTTCCATCCAATCTCAACCATTCTATGATTATGATAATAGTAACTTTTAAATAGTCCTGTCCTGAATGTACAAGCTAAAATACTTTTTTTTTTGTATTAGGTCTAAATCAACGTTTTGGGAATAAAAGTCAAACTCAGATAAATAAATGTTCATATCTTATGCTCTAATTCACCTACTACACTCTCTGCGTTTAAATTGATTGAGAGATATATGTATTTCTCTCTCTCTAAGTGGCATATTTAGTCAGAGTATTAATCTCATTGACCATGGAGATTAAAGGAAGACCCAGCTGGCACTGACTTCATGTCCCCCCCTTTTTCTTTCTCCCCGCCAGTGGAGCCCAATCCTGAAGTCTCCATTCAGGCAGTTTTCCAACTGAAATAATTGTTTCGTTGTGATCCCATTTATAGTATGCAATGCAATAGAAGGAAACTGGTTGGGATTTTTGCCATTCTGCATCTTGACATTCACATACTCTTCTTCCACAGCTCCAAGAATTTGTGTACTTGGCCCACCTGCTTCTGGGAAAACTACAGTTGTAAGTGTATGACTTTCAATGTTATAGTACTGTCCACTTACCTTTTTACTTTCTACTGAGCAAGACAGTCGTGAAGATTTTATGCTGAGGAAATAATTTTCAGAATTATCTAAGTGATAGAAGAGCACGAGACAAATTGAAGTGTGGCATTTCTAAGGGGTACACCTGAATATTACGCCTCAGGTTAAATGGAAATGTTCGAGTGAGCTCTGCAAGAACGCGCTCAGGTAGCGGTACTGCCGTAACGCAGCTGAATTCTGCCTGCCCTTTTCTCCCAGCCTTTTAGCAGAACTGATTAACCTGGGAGGAGTACCACAGGTACCTGTCTGTGGTATTCCCGTATTGTGGATTGCTCCATTCACATGGCCAGTTGTCTGCCCTGTCTGCTGGTACAGCTTAATTGAAAATGCCAAAGTTGCATTTGAACCACTGAGAAAGCTGACCACACAAACAGCAGATGAGGGTGGTATGTACATCCTAGGAAGAATGCTTTTTTCTTTAAAAATCTATGTTACAGTGTGGTAGATGAAGATGACCTTATTCAAAGCTATGGACTCTTGAACATCTGTATAAGAGAATGCTTAAATACATAGTCTGTGTGCTCAGAGAGAAGGCTAGAAAAATGCTCCCTGTCTTTCTGCAGCCTTCTGAAGAAATGCTTCATTTTCTTTCCAAATATTTCAGCCTGTACTTTTTCCTCTTCTTCCCTCAGGCTATGTGGCTTTGTAAACATTTGGATGCCGTACGTATCTCTCGGGAGACTTTGTTATCCAAGGAAATATTAGCGCTGACAAAAGAAGCAAAAGCGTATAAAGAAAGAGAACAGGTGTGTAAGAGGATATAATAATAGTAGCTCTCATGTCATCAGAGAGGAATGATATGGCATTTTCATGATTTCCACTGCTATATGTTGAACAGGTCAGAGTAAATATTCTTAGATCTGTGGTGATTTGTACATTGGTTTGTGTATATGTAGGTATAGGACCTTCCAGAAAATAAGGGTAACCTCTGCTAGGTAAGAAGATGTGAACAAAGGTGTGCCAGGGCATAGAATAGAGGCAGGAGAGGAAAACAGTGTAAAGTAATGGAAGTGTTGAAACCATTAACCTTAGAAAAATAGGCTGAAAATAGTGTTTATTACACTGAATTAGTGAAGGAAGTTTGGAGATGCCTCAAATAATATACTTAAAAGAGAGGAAAGAGTTTATTGAACTCACTGAACTTACTGGCAAAAGGGTTTGCTTTTTGGCTGGGATGATATAAAATGTTTCTTACTTGAGAATATGTACTTTGAAATCCTCATTCTAATTATTAAAGATTGTTTTGCTAGGTTCATAAATTTCAACTTGGAGGGGGAGAATTTAAAACAAAAATTCCCTTTGGTTTAATTACTGTAATTATTAACATATTTCAGACTATACAGATGCACTTTCAAGGGTGTCCTTTTGGGCTTATTTGGTTTAAAAAGATGGATGGTGCAGAAGATGAAAGTCAAAAATGTCAAGGCTAATCAGGTAGTAAGGAGTGCCCGAAGAGCAGAATCTCATGGTGGTTTAGTACTGTGCTGTTTGCTTTTGGTTTTGAGGTGTTAGATCCTAGAACAACATTTTCACATTTTCTTTTGTTCTTCTATATGAGTTTGATTCTTCAAATGTGACTCCTAAAACTAGGAGGGAACTGCTGGCTTCCTTGAAATCAATACAAGCTTTACAGTGACTTAAAATGTAGCCAAATTGCCATCTCAGGCTGTAGTTTCCCTTACTGATTTATGTCTGCTGGGTAAATCTGCTGTTGCCGTAACTGAACCCCTGTTCTGCTGAAGCAAGTGGTAAATTTGACTCCTCTAGCCTACATAACATCCATTAGCACTAATAGGGTTTGAATGTCTGTCCAGGAACACAACAATAGCTGTTTATACTCTCTTTGATACAATCAGGGCATTAAAAAGTTGTAGTACTGGCCAAAGCAATTTAATAAATGGAAAGAGGAAAAGCAGGAACTGTGTTTTTGAAAGTCTGGTGGTGTGAAGATCATATAACACAATTTAATGTTGTTAGAGGAATGTTTCTTGCCTCTAAGGTTACTGTGGCTAAATTAACCCTGGTGCCAAAGGTCATTCATTTTGAGGTCAGTAGGCCAGTGCTACTAGATCTGGGCAAACGCTGCCGAAAGGTCTGCAAATGTTTGTTCACATATTTTACTTGCTTATCTTTAGCCAAGCTTTCGTCTCTTTTGTGTTCGTTCCCAGTCAACATTAAAGCTTTTGAGTTTTCCTGGCACGAGAATTCATGGAAGGCGTATTTAGAATATGTGATTATTCTCTGAAGCTCAATTTTTATATTTGGACGTGCAATCGTTCGCTAACGTGCACCTGGCCTCTTACTAATGAGCATAACTCAGGTAGTGAATTTTAAATAGTGACTGTTCAAAGCCAAATGTGATCATTCTACATGTAAGAATATATCAAAAAGAAGTCAAATATTTTTGAATATTCAATAAATTTGAAGAACCACAAGCTATCAATAAATATTCCATGAACAGAAAAAGAGGCTACATTTTTGGATAAATCATTGCAAATTATTCCCTCATCTCTAGTTGTTATAATGTTAATAGGAAGCACCTTCAGGCTTTTCCTATAGTGAAGTCTAATGATGAGGTGTTGCATGTTTCACTTTTCCTATTAACTGGATAAAATAAGAAGTTGAAACAAGTGTGGTAATTGTGGGCTTGTGGGATGGGTGTGCTCTTAATGTTATATAGTAAATGACAGTTAAGGTGTTTGCATACCACTTACTGACTTAAAGCAGCTCTAGAATTGCATTGTATCCCCATACTTCTTAAGAAGAAATAAAAGAAAAGCTAAGACATCCTTATCTATGCATGTTCAGCATTCTAATCTATTCCAGGATAAGCCACTATGAAGGAACAAATAGGAACTTCTCCAGTCCTGTGTGTACGTAGAAAAGACAAGCCTTTCATGGTTATTTGTCTGAACATCCATGTTATTTGTATAAACATCCATGATTTTCAGAATACTAAACCAAATTTCTTCAAACTTCACTTTTCTCTCCAAGATGCAAACTTAGATAACATGAAATATTTAAAATTAATCATGAAGGAGTACAGTTTTCCAGCAGTATGGAAATAGTGATTAAACCAGTGTGCAGAGCAAAGTGGGCTGGACAAAACCCCACAGCAGCAGGTCTTGCCATGAGCGACACCGACTGTTGGGGCAGACTTCGAGTGCCTTCAGCAAGATGTGGTTCCGCACTTAGCAGAAGGGTCTGTGGCGTTGCATGTTTCTGGGAGGTGCAGACCCATCCACCAGACTCATGATATATTTATGTGAGTGTTTACGAGAGAGAAATCTTAAATCTGCTGTCTGATCTGTATCAGGTTTAATGGTTTCTAGTTGAATAATTAGGCATTCTACCAGCAACCTATTGAAAATTATTTTGTAGGCCATTGCTCAGTAGGAGGCAAGCTGACCAGGAAATGAGACTGGAATTGAGCCACAGAGAACAGAAGGAACTAAACCACTGAAATACCTGCCTGTGTGTCCACGATTGGTTTTGTGCAATAAACTCCACTCAAAAGAGAGGACTAAGAATACCACCACACTGAAAGAAGCTGCTGTAATTTTGGTTTAAATTGGTTTGGCAAGGCTTAGCAGAGTGGCCCCCCGGCAGTCGCTAGCCTGTCTTGACATGACACATCAAAGAAGCGAGCAAGAAGCTCGCTGTTTCTGATAGCAGCGTGATGCACCTTTGGAAGGTGACAGGCTCAAAGCCACAGACCCAGGCTCCAGCAGCGAGAGGCTGCAGGAGGCTTCGCCGCAGCACCCTGTGGGACCTGCTGGCTTTCAAGAAACACAGCAATTTCTTTCCCTTTTTCTCTTTTTGCCTGCTTGAATGTTGCCTTGTGAATGGCTGATATTAGGAAAGGTGCTGAGAACTGGGGACAGGAGCGAGAAACAAAACAAGAAAACCCACTGCCTGCCTGGGCCACCTTGTCCCTTCCACAGCCAGACGAGGACTGCTCTCATGCTTTCTCTGCTGTAAAGTGACTCATGTGGTAGCATTTCCACCCCTCCTGGTGAAATTGTTTCACGATCTAACAAAGAAGATTGTTATGAAATCTTTCCACGCAGCCAGCCACATTTTCATTATAATCTATCTACATCCTTTAGTATAAATTAAGCCTACAGAAATACTCTTTTTTAGGATTATGCCCTTCAGACTGTTTGGTTGGAAAAAAGAGATGGAAACCCACAATAGATGGAGCTGCACGGAACAAAGAGTAGAGCTCACATGATTAAGTGAAAGATAATTGTTTGTCTGGGGAAGTGGAGAATCTGACTGCAGATTTTTATTTGAGTATTTATTTTGTCTGTAATGACATAATGAATTATCTTGACAAGGCATTTAGTGAAATGATTAACAGCTGTTCCGACTGGTCGTGGCCAAAGGTTTAGACTTTATCAAGTTAAACCGGCTAACACAGAGTTTGCTTAACCAAGTTCAGCTTAGAATGAAGGCCTAAATTAACAAGATAGTGAAGAAAATTTTTACAAGAAGAAGGGTATTGTTATTTTCTTATCAGGAAATCAAGTATAATGGAAGAAATATGGAGGGAGGATGCTAAATCTGTAGAATTTTGTTCTTCAAATAACGACAGAAAGAAACAGCACTGAAAATATTAGCACATACAGTTTCAATCCCGTTTCAAAGTCCTGCATTTAAAAATAAGCTAACATTAACACTAAAATCAAACGATAAAATGTGTTTTAAATAAACTTACTGGGTGACAAAAGAGTCCGAGTTAGTTGAAACTATGAGACAAACCTTCCGAAAATCGGACTCTTTCTGCTATTTGCCCTGTGTTTGAGATTCTCCTTGTCTTGCATGGTATCTGTTAAGCTCACTAACGTTGAGTCCACCAACCTGAAGCAGTAATGAGTCAGGTACTTGTGGGTGTGATGTTGTTATGGATCCTTTTGTGCGTTTGATGTCCAATATTTGTGTTCGCGTGCAAATCTTGGCACTGCTTTCGTGTTAGTGTGCAAAAAGCCTGGATGTAGGCTTTGTGCTCAGCTTGCCTTTAATATGGACTTTTATGGCCTTATTAACTCTCTGATATATTATGTTGATGACTCGGGAACTACACCGATTTATTTATTTATTTATAAGAAGACATCTCACTTCACCTTTAACCGGAATATGCCTGCATGGTAAAATTCCTTTTGAACTCAATAGTGAATATTCAGCCTTTTTTTGTTCTTTCTTTAGAAAATTCCCAACGCGCTTTGGGCCAATCTGATCCAGGAACGTCTGTCAAACGTGGACTGCATCAAACAAGTAAGAATTGCTCCTCAGAGGGCCGGTGGATAAGCACTTACACAACTCGTGCATCGTAGTTAGCATTCCGAGTCCTGAGCAGAGGAGGGAATGGGGGCAAATCATTGGGGGCTCTGGAGCGGATTGCTTTCTTGAACATCAGCAGAGGGAGTTGGGAGCTTTATTAACAGGATAAAGGGGAGGATGAGTGTATGCATATGCTAATCTTCTAGCACAGAGATGATCAAAGGCTGAACAAGCATAGCTTTGTTGATTGCCTGGGGCAACTGGCAGGGATACAGTGGACAAAACAGATAAACAGAAAATATATAAAAATCAATATGTTGATTTAGGATTTTTAACTCTTATTGAGGAAAAGGGGAAAAAGAAACTAACATTACTCATTTCAGTTTTTATTTCTCATTGTGTCTTTTTTATTAATTATTCCTGTGTTAAGAAAAAGCTGCATTTGAATCTCTTCTCTTGTAGGTAGTAATTAATATGTTCAATGATAGTTCACACAAGTAGGCAACTGAATGGATTTAGCCGTATTCACAGATGTGTGGCTTTTTTTTTTAGCCCTGATGTACATAGAGACTTTAAACATGGACCCTAAAGAGAACTTACATAGATTAATATTAGTTGAAATTAATATCTGGACTCAAGAAAAGCAAAATCTCTTTTATGTGTTAAACCCTCAGATTTCATGATTTGTTGAGAGCTTAATCAGCCCATTGTAAGGGATTATTTGTGAGAGACATACTAACATAATGAATAATGTCCATTTTCTAAACAGTGTCGAAATATGGGCTGGACATTATTTGATCCACTTCTTGACAGGAAAGTGTCCTGTCCAAAGTAGATGTTACATTCGTGAAGGACTGAACAGCTTTTTTTCAGATAAATAGGATGTGTTTTCAGAACAGTCACTCTGTCATGCCTGCATCTTTGGGGCAGGGGATAACTAGTGCTTCGTGACTTTATAGAGAGATTGCAAGGCTCAGAGTTTTACTAAAATCTGTTACTTCTCAGCGTCATCACCATCTACCTTCTTAGTTGAATAAAGCAGGGCTGGTAATTAACATTTCATTGAAGAGTCAGAATTGCTTCCTAAAGCCTCTTAGCATTGGGTACTGAAAGAAACTGGAAATGCTGAAAACCTTGTCTTGCAGTTCTTTCTCTGTCACTGATTTTTGGTGTAGCCTGTAATGATCCGCAGACTGGATCCTTCCATCCATGTAAAACAAAATAATCTTGAGGGCTGGGAAGTCGCCTTGTTGTTTTTAAGATGCTAATTCTGTAGCAGAGGTGTCTGTAGGTGCAGAGAAACATCAACAAAACCAGCAAGAAGAATCGAGAATATTTTCTGCCCCTGGGTGAAGGTTTTGGCCTTTAGAACTTGGCTTAAGCCACTGATGGAAGTGTCTTTCAGTGGACCTGCCTTGTGTAAGCGAGATCAGGTGGTCAATTATAGTGTATGAACTGCAGAAAGAATAACTCGATCAGGATGATAATGAGTAGCCAGAGATGTAATCTCTTAAATTGTTCCTGCCCGAGAGGTTTGCTAGAGGACATCTGTCTGTTGTGAGCATATAGCTGTAGCAGACTAGGTAGCACGCTGGTCTCTGTTAGCAGTAGCTTAGAACTAGTAAAATCCTGTGTACCTTACTCTATAATTGATTTATCGATTTTGAATTTGCAAAGTAGAATTAAACTTTAGCATTGCCAGTCACTGTGCTTGAATTATGTGGGTCTGTCTGGTTTCTCTTGAAAGTCTTTTTAGCTGAGTTTTATTTAACTTAATTTCATTTTGACTCAAATTAGTTATTTAGCACTCCGGATCAAATATCTAGTAGTATTTAATACATTTGTTTATCTGTAGTAAATCCACACAGGACTTAGGTCTTTCAATTGGCAGGAGAACCTGTTTAAAAACACACACGTGGTGTAACATCTTTGTTCATTTTTGTGGCATTTTGAATTAAAGAATGCAGCTGAGGAGCACTTGAGAAACCCATCCTGTCAGCTCTGGATATACTAGCAAACGAGGAGCAGAGAAAGCGTATGTATGCCAACATTTTTTATGTGAGCAGTGCAATGAGATATCATGGATATGCAGCAAGTCAGGTGATTGTATGATTTACTACCTTGTCCTTGTGGCAAGATGTGGAACATTGATCTCAAGTGAAACTTCTCTTCTAGGGAGTAGGTTTAAAATATCTTTAAACCTGTAGAGACGAAAGTAGTTTAGTAAGATGATAAACCCAAGAGGGATGCTTCTGCTCTTCTGATCACACACCGAACACCTGAACACCATCAGCTTCTCTGGTTGTGCTACTAGTAGTTAGCAGGTAGGGTAGAGAAGATGCTGGGGTACCCCTAGTACTTTCAGTAATTTTGGATAACTATTTTCTCACCTGGTTTCTCAAAGCTAGTAGTTGCTGGGACAATCTGTCCTCTAGTGCTATCTGAAGGAGAGCTCTTGGGTGACTTTAGGGCTTTTATAACAACAGCACTAAAACCTCCACGACGTGTTTATTTTTTCACTTGTCTCTTTGCCTGATTAAAAGAAGGTCTCTTTTAAATAGCTAATTTTTCCAGTGTTTGTTGTGATACTGTTAAAGAGAATTTTCCTAACCATCAGTGCATAAGCGAAATCCATTGCTCTCCAAAGGCTGCATCCAGCCTAGGTGGTTTGAGGGGTTTTTTGCACCATGTTTACTATAATTATATGCATGGTTCTAATTCTCATTTTAAGGGCAAAGGAAGAATCTGTCAGTGAGTGTTAAGTATTAGGTCAAGTTAACTCCAAGTAAGGCAACAAGATGGTTGAAATGCCAGCAGCTGCGTAGTGTCCTGCCTACGTTTTACATTCCTGTTGTTGTGACCAGCACACTGAATCAGTGCTGGGTGTCGTATGGAACTAGGAGGGAAAAAAAACACCTTTATAAAGCTACCCTGACATTCAGCAAGAATGGATTACATGTTATTGGTCTGGTTAACGCTTCAGCTATTTTTAGGGAAAGCACATAATTGACTTTTCAAAGTTGTGCTGGTTATTAAAAGTCTTTTAATTAATAGGAAGTAATTCATGGTCACTAAAACTTTCTCACGTTGTACAGGCCTTCCATTTGAAAGGGGATCTATGCATTGTAATTGCAATAGTTTCCTTGTGTGCTTGGAAATAGAATTAAGACTGTGGATTTTGTACATTGTTGAACAGATTTATGCCATTTCTTTCAAAATATGAGTCAGCTTTTTTTTTTTTTTCTGAAAATGTTAATAGATTAGGAGCAGTGTGTTGGACCATAGTACCACCAGCTGTTTGTTTTATTTCTCCTTGTGGTGTCATTGGCTTGGCATTAATTGTACAGCTTTCCTCCCACTGACAGTAGGAATACAGAATTTTTTGTGCCATTGTTTTGACACTCACAGGTTTATAGATGTCACAGGCACTCTCCAAGGAGAACATTTTTATTGATCAACAGCTCTGCTGAGACTCTGTGTTATGTGTTCTTCTAATACAAATGTAGTTAGGACTGCGAGGGATCAGACGGGTAGGTCTTCTGGCATACGCAGAAAAGTTATTGCAAGCATTATGTTAGAACCTGGGACTTGTGAAGCCGATATGAAGACTTTTCATCTTACAGAGTCAGTACGTGTTGGCTGCGGCACCTTTGGCTGCCGGTGTTGTGAGGGGAGTTCGTAGAACTGGTGAAGGCTAGTGAAGCGATGAATTTGTGATGATGGATTTGTGAGAGAGCGAGCTGAGCAACCTTACCCATGTCTTAGGAGCTTTCAGAAGCTAGGCTTAGGCCAGTGATCCACGCCAAGAAGTGGCAGAATTCCTTTTGTTTGATATTAAACAGCTCAGAAAGGATAGTGGCTGTCCTTAAAAGAGAAGGCAAAGAGAGCAATGGCTGCTGTGCTTTTTGGTTTTACCTCAGCAGGTAAAGATCGTCATGTTGTCTCTGTGAAACTCCATGTGAGGATAGTGATGGTACAGAGACTTATCTGGGGAGAGAGTCTTCCAATTCACCATCTTTTTTGCTTTCCAAGAAGATTGTGGCTTTCTGTAATAGCTTTGCAGCGTACGCAACCCGTCAGAATAATGTGGGGGAGGTGTCTTTCTAATGGGAAATTTTTTAAAGTTTGAGCTTCCTCCATGATCCATACTGCTAATGTTGATGGGCTGCAGGAGTTGGGTTGACAGTTGCTGCACTCCTCAGTCTGCTGTTTTCTGAAAAACTTTTCAATTTTAGATCCGTGCTGGCAAAGCTATTACTGACACTATTTTTTTGCATTATTATCTGTCCCCTTTCTTCAGATGGAAGTGCAAGGCATATAATGCTTTTCCAAAAATACCGAATGTCGATGTGGAAAAAAACTGTTGTGATGACTTGTTTTCCTAAAGGCAGCAGCATGCGTGACTTGATTTTATGCTTGTGGTTGAGATTTCTTTCAAGATGTGCCATGTAATTCAGCACTATTTCTTTGCACTATTCCTTTTCATTATTCTAAGGCAATGTCAATTTTGGACTTTGTAATTAAAGAAAAAATAAAAAATTGAGGATGTAAAGGTCGAATACCAAGAGAGAACTTGAATACCTGACTCATTATTGGGGTGGAAGGTGTGAAAGTATGTAGGCTTGGTATTTGAGCTGAGAGTAGTGCCAGCAAAGGAATGAGATTTACATTTGGGAATGACCTTGATTCCTTAAATCTGGAGAAGAAAGTGATGCCTTGAAAAGTAGTTCCTTGTTACAGATTTTCGGCCTGGCATGGGTCTCCGAGGAGCACTTCACCTGGCATTATGGCAAGAGCAGAATGCTGTATTTCCAGCAGTCTTCACATGAGGAAGGGATTGAGGTTTCCAGCTGAAAAAGAGGGGGCAGTGACCACAGAGTAAAGGCGCCGTGGAATTACTTTTTAGCCTTTGTTCCACCCTTGATGTGAGGGGGTGTAATCTACGCGTGGATGTGAGGTTGCTTCTATCAAGAACAAAAAATAGATGGCTTCTTAAAGAAACAAATTTACCATGTGAAGTTACTAATTACACTTTAATGTTAGTCAGGAGGGCAAAAAAGACCAGTGTTTGCATAAAGCATGATAGGCATATTTTAAGTCAGGTCTTGCTCTGCTGTGTCTTGCTTCCTCTTGCTTCGTTCCCAAGCCACGCTCTCTTTTCACTCTTTTTTTTTTTCCTTTTTTTTTTTTTTTGTATCTGTGACATCTGCTTGGAGCTTGTCCCTCCTGTGATACCATACTACTTGCAGCTGTTCAGACCTCCAGCTCTGAGCTGTGCATGGGGTGCCCTGAGCATACGGCCTTTTTGATGTGTGATAAAACAGAACCAAGCCACTGGGGGTATGGAGAGGGAATGCAGCAGAATATCAATAAACCTGTTCTGAACAAAGCTGGGGCTCTGTGGTGGAATAGACATTTCACTGAAGTGTCAAGTAGATGGATAATGTATTCTAATTAGGGACTGACTGATACCCTGGAACTCAGAGACCTTTGGAAATAAGATCCAAAATGCTACCTATTTTTGTAGTCAGTGTTTATTTTGCCTTTTTTTTGATGCCTTAAAACATATTTGTTGCAGGGAGCTATTTAGCGAGCTATGTTTTCTTACATTGCGAAAACTTTTAGCTGGAAAATTGCTGATTGCCTTTGAAATTTGGATGTAAACATCTTGAAGTTTGCCGTGCATTGCTAAAACACAATATCATGATTTTAAACAATAGCGGGATTTTTTTTTTTCCCCCGTTTGTTTTAGTTTCCAAAAATGTTGCCCTTGGAGTGGAGAAAATGAGCCAGATCTGTAGTCTGTGAAAATTGGCATAGATTTATTGGCTTCAGACCTCTGATGCCATTTCTTCCTAGAAGAGGATCTGGGCCTGTATATGTATGTTACACGGGCACAATATATTCAGAAGTAGCTCTGAAATTCCTTGCGTACCACTAAAAATATTGTGCAGCCTTTTCGTCTGCGAGTCCCAAGGGACGAATTGATTTCTCAGCACCTGTGTGACCTTAGACAGCAGTTCATTCTAATTCGATAGAGCAAACACTGGGAGTGGCAAAAATGGCTTGCAGTTACTTCAGACTCTTATTTTCTACAGATATCAGCAGGATGACATGTTCCTGAAACGAGGCTAATTAAGGAATTTTAAATAGTCTACTAGATTTTCTTGTATAATTGGAATGTCCCAATTTCCTCCTACAGAATTCATGGAGATATGTTTCCTTGAAATACTTCTAAAACATTTAGACCCCGTACTGACAGAGCTTCAAATTTATGTGGGAGATGATAATGATTATTAGCTAATGTAAGATGGAAATATCTCCTTTATTTCCAGATTCATTGTAGTATCACAAAGTTGTTTTGAGGTATAGAATGTGTGATTAAGCAACTAACAGATAAATTAGAGAAAGTTCAGGAGATTCAGACTTGAGACTGGGAAGTGGATTAGGTTTCAAATACTGCATCACACAGAAACTGAGTGAGGCTGCAGCTCTCCTACGGTATTTCACAGATCTGTAAATGTTTTTTTAAAGATGCTCAATCCAACACTTAGCTGGCTATAACAAGGACTTAAGGGAGCAAAAGGCTCTTTTTTCTTTCTTTTGCTCTGTTGCTTCATTAGCTTTGGGAACGCTGGTTCCATTACTGTGAGTTTTCCTGTATAATTTACGAAAATAATGAAAGCGTGCATATTTTCCTCAGTGTTCTTGGCATTAAATCTGTCCTTAGATTTGTTTAGCCTCTTTTTTTTTTTTTTCTACACAGTGTGAGCTGGTGTCCTTTTGAATATTTCACAACTGTAGAAATTGTTTTGGGTTGTTTTTATTCAAGATAGAACTTTCTCTTTTTTTGAGATTGAAACATGAACAAAAGAATCGTTGCTCCAATACGTAAGTTCCCATTGCTCTGAGACAGTGGTATCAGTGCACGTCATTTCACAAAAATACCAGTGCTCCATGATTGCTTTCTTCTCTCACAAGTGTCAACAGCAAATCCTGTGCTGTTGTGGGATCAGAGTGAGGTAATTTTTGTGCCGATAGCGCTGATGTTTAGTGCTAACTTTTGTTTTTTCTCTTCCAGGATCAATAACTGTTTCATGTTTTTCTTCAATAGGGATGGATTTTGGAAGGCTTCCCTGAAAATCAGGAGCAAGCATGGATGCTGCAATCATCTAGCATCTTTCCTAGACATGTTGGTAAGCAGTACAGGGTTTGTGTGTGACTGTACCCAGTAGGAAAGACTAGAAGTGTTTTTCCCCCCAAAATTCTTGATAAATGCATACCAATACTGAAGACACCAGCGTTGCCAGACAGCAGAATGGCTCAGACTCACTCAAAAACTTGAGGTAACCTGTGAGACTTTAAACTTTCTCTTTCACACATGAACCCTTTCCTTCTTGCATGTTAAGACCATTAAGACCATTCAAGACCACTCCAGCAAGTGTCTCGGAGCTTTATCCTCAGACCAAACCAATTCCTCATCTACTAAATAAATTCTTTTGAATTAGAGAATGTGAACTTAGCAAACTTTACTCCACCAAGTGGAAACGTCATGATTTTAAGCTTGACGTTTCAGAGTATGAGTGGATTCTGACTTGACTAATTCCGACTTGACTAATATTTGTGCAAAGTGCTGATAGACAAGACGTTGAGAGCTGCCCTTGCCTTAGAAGAAGCTGGTTGTCCCAAACTAATATAGTTAGAGGACCTACTCAGAATGTAAGAAATAATTGCTATTTTGTGGAATACAGTGTGAAGTGTTAAATGTAGAGCTTGCCAGTGGATAGTGAACAGAATGTTAGCAAACCTGATGAATTGTCACTCTGGATTTGATTTGGATGGGGTTCGAGTGTTAATGAGGAATTCAGAATCACTGCAATAGAGTTAGGCAAAAATGTTTAATGTCAAGTACTTGCATGTATTTTTAATATAGCTAATAATATCTGAAGTTGAGTTTTGCTCACAATTATATCTGTGCAACCAAGACCTGAATGAGAATCTTAAAGCTCAGTCTAGTTAATCAAAAAGAAGATTGAGAGGAGATGAGATATATGGTGTACAAGTACATTAATAGGGAGAAAAGTGTCTGGAAAAGCTATTTGATACAGAGAAGAGAGTCATAAGAAGAACTTGTTTGAAACCTGTAGTCAAACGCACTGAAAATATTAATTAAATTACAGTGTTTAACTGTGAGGCAGAACGCTGGGAAAGGAGAATGAGTCAAACGTATTTGAAATACGCTAATCCATCTTTAATACTAGGATACATGTAAAGTGCTACAGGAAATAAAGCAAGTAACTAAGAAGGACTACACTTTTGTTTTTCTTTTTCTTTTTTTGTTGTCTAGTTGTGCTTTATGCTCCAGACGCTATGCTGATTGAGAGGAACAGGGGGAAAAGGCTTGATCCCTTCACAGAAGGTGCAGTATCTGTTTGTTCCTGATCTCCACTAGAAATGGGAGTGTCGCTTGGGCTCAGAAACATTGTAATACCAGTAGGATTAAAATTTAAATGATATCCCTTTAAGTGCCAGTAGGAATTTATATTAATATTTATAAATATTTGTATTTGTAATCATATTGTGTGTTCTAGGAGTGGAGTAAGGAGGGAAGTTCTTAACTAAAGAAAATGGCTTTTGTTTTCTGTAAAGGAGATTTGCTTATCAAAGGTCTTTGCTTAAGGTTCAGTCTTAGAATTTGGAGAGCTATCCCCAATTTCTAGTTCTTACTCATCACGCTTCTATCTGTACATCAGCAGAGTAATAGTCAGCTGTCAGTAAAAGTAGCGAGGGAAGCGCACAGGTTACTGCTTGTGCCACAATATAAAGCTTAAAGACAGACCTTGATTTTGTTTAGGAAGCCTGTTGTTGGTAAGCAAGACCTATTAAATCATCTTCTTAGTTCCTAATCAGTATTTACTTGTAGAGGTGTACCATAAAACCTTCAACTGGCCAACCGATCCGCTGGTGCAGCAACGTTTGGTGAAGCCAGAAGATCTGTCTGAAGAGCAGCTCTCAAAGAAACTGCTGGAATATCACAGAAACTTCCCTGAGGTTTTCCAGATCTATCAGAAAGTTTTGAAATCGATCAATGCAGACCAGCCTTCCGTGGATGTCCTTTCACAGGGTAAATCTGTACCTTTATGGCAAATCTGAGAGTTGATGAACTCGTATTGGAAAGGTAGTTCCTAGCTGTTAGAGATGGTTTGTAGGATTAGGATTAGGCAACACAGATGGCTCCCAGATGAGTTGATCTCTCTAGTACAGCATTTGGGCTGTGCCTGGTAATGACTTTACAGGACAAGAGTAAGTGCAGATAACTAGAAAGTCTTAGTTCCACGGTCCTGCCAAGGAACAGCTGACTCAGAGCAAATGTCATGGTTATTTCTGCAAGAGTCTCTTCTGAAAGGCTGCCTTGTGGCTCAGTTGTTAATCTCCCAAAGGGCTAGTACCTTCCACAAGTCTGATAACAAGAAGCAGGAGTAGTTCAAAGCTGTAACATTTGATTATTTAAAAGCTGTTTGTGCCGGTAGCTTTTCTATTGAACAATTCTTGTTTGCTTTCGCTTGACTGTAATGCAATCTGACTTCTAATGTTGATTCTTCAAGGCGAGAATATGGAAACTGCCAGAAAGACCAATTGATAATGTACTTTGTAGCTGTCAGACTGTAGACGATCTGTTATATCCCAGTAATTTTGCATCTCAAAAAGGTCTTTTTTAATAACAAGTGCTGCACTTTTAAGATAAACAAGTAGGAAGTTTATATTCTGAATTTACACATTAATTACCTCTAAATTACTTAATTAAATTTAAAAGTTCATATCATCATTCATAAAGAATTCATGCCTTGAATTGTAAATAAAAATGTGAGTGCCTGAATATTAATTATTATTAATTAATAATGTAGTGAGATAAATTGAAAACTGGAATGAAAAAATCCTCTCTAGATCTTTTTTCTGCAGTGCATCAAGCAGCCAGATTTTTTTTTTTTTAAGAATAATTAGATGTGGAGACTGTCTAGGGGATCATTACTCCTAATTAACTTGGTTATTTACTGCAAATTAAGCATCATTTGTAAGCAGGGTGCTTCGCCTGTAATGTTTGTGCTTTTCAATACACTGGGTTATGGAAAATGTTCAGAATAACTGGAGCACTCCTTGGGTAGCTGATACTTGGTTTTTAGGACGTTATGCAGCAAACACTGTTTTCTCTTATGATTTTCCTTTTTTTTATTAAGTTTATTGCTACAGATAGAACTAAAACAAAAAAAGAGATCTGTCAGCAATATTAGTATTATTATGGATTGTTTCCTACAGTTATAGCATTTTGTAAACTCTTGAACTTTAATGCAATTCCTGCTACCACATGCCAGGGAATGTGCATCAGATGCAGCTGTGCAGGGGAGTGTCCCAGTACGGTTTGTGGCACTGCAGGAAGAGATGTAGGCCATCCCATGGGGGTGCAGTTTGGGGTAGTTTCTCAATACTTAAGGTCCGCTATCTAGAAATAATTGGATTGGAGTTTGCTGGAGATGCTTCTTTATTACAAAAAGATTTTATAAGGATATTAACTTGTCTAGGCAAGAGTCCTCAGGAAAACCATGAGCTAGTGTTAACAATGGTGGTTAGAATATTTATCCTTATGATGTTCTCCATCAATCCTTTTCTGTGTTTGTTTGGGTTGGGTTTTTTTTTATTAATATGGGTTTACAATTCATAAAAACATTCGTGTCTAAGCCTGTCCTATTTGTTAGACTAAAATACCACTTTATTACAAGGACCCTTTAGTCCTGAGAGTCTTTTATTTGCGCTGAGGATGTCTGGGCTATCACGCTTAATTCCATCCAGTGCAATTACAGAGGAAATCAAAGCCTGTGTAGGTGTGCCCGTGCTGCTTTGATCACGGGTAACCACAGCAGTCGGGGGACGGTGGGACGGTGGTTTGCCTTGACCTTTGAAATCTGTGATCCCTGGAAAGCTTGCATAGCTTGTGCTGAAGCTTGAGCTATTCTCTTTGCGAGTACCGTTAGCCGCAAAAGGGGCACGGGCAGTGAGAGTGTTTGGATTTGTCCTCACTGCCAAGCCACGTCGTCTTTCAGCGTCTATCAGGTTCTCTTCTGACGTCATAACAAAGATCAGGTCCCTCTGACAAGGCAACACTGGTGATGCTTCACGTATCCTGTGCTCTTTCCAATCTTACAAACTGGAGGTTGACCTGAATGTAGTATTTCCTACACAATACGAGATGTAGAAGAATGAAGTCCAGCAAACAAAGTGAAATTGGGCAGAGAAGCTCAAATACCCTTTATGTGCTATGCAGAAATGATGGGCAAAAGAATAAAATCTTACTCGATCATGTGTTGTCAATGCTGTGTTGTGTCATGACATCCTATGCTACAAGTTTATAATATTGTAATTAGGAGTCTGTTAATCACACGCACAGCTGGATAAATGTCATATTAATTTAACATCCTGGGTTTTTACGCTTAAATATTTGTTCAGAAGCTGCTGAAAATATTAAATGTAATTATATCCCTCTATAATTTCCATGGTAAAATTGTACCTATCAAGCAAAAATTACTTCAGCTAAAATCAACATGGTAAAAGGGCAATTATTAATTGAATCTGCTTTTTTAAATGGCTTGACATCTACTGATGAAAGAAAGTATAGGAGTGTAATGATAGTAACATTGCTAAAGTGCCTCTCAGTAAGTTGCTGACATGATGGTTTTATCAGAGTCCTGGTTTTGATTGGAGTATTGAGATATCTCCGTGATAAAATAAATTGTGATCAACATGAAAACCTTTTTTAAAACCAGAAAGAAGTTAATGAGTTGGGGGCAGGTTACTTTTATTCTGTTTTTTAAGGACATAAACTGTATTTCTTGCCTTTCTCTCGTGTTCTAGTTTTTAGGTATGTCCAAACACGGCACCGATCAGCGGCCCCCTTTATACCCCGGATTCTCTTTTGTGGACCCCCAGGCAGTGGGAAGAGCCTCCAGGCAGCACTGGTAGCTCAGAAATACGGCGTCGTCAACAGTAAGTTCTCAGTAAATGTGCGCTTCGCTCAATTCCCCCAAATGCAAGTTTCTTTCATTAGTGTTCTTTCAATGTATAGCAAGAAAAAATGAGAATTAAGTAGGAAGTGATTTTTTTTTATTTTTTTTCCCTCTTTGGGAGATTCTTTGATTAGTGGAACACACCCACGTGGCCACAGCAATGTGCCCGTTTGCTGGTGTCTTCCCTGGACTCCTGGTGAAGTCAGAAGATTTCATTGAACCTGAATTTGGTTTTACATGTGACTAATGACTTCGAGATCTGAGCGGTGTTGTTTTCAGTTACGGGTTTAGAAGATCTGCTCAGAGAAGAAGTAAATTTGTTCTAACTTGAACCTTCAGAAGAAGCCCTGACTTTCCAGCTAATGGCTACATTGTAGGTTTGTGCAGTTCCGTTAAAGGCGCGGAAACAGTTAGGAAACTATCTGTCTATCAGTTTGGGCTTCTAGGTTTAAAATTTTTGTATTTGACATCTTTATTACTATTTTAGTGTTTAAAAAAATACAGGAATATGACTAAAATGATATACAGTGAACTTGGAAAAGGTCAATTTAAATTATTTTAAGATCTCTGTTACAATACTGATAAGTACAAATAAAATTGGCAGCATGTTTATGCTACCAGTTATTTTAATATTGCTGTGTTTTATAATTTCATATTAAAGAAATAATTTTAGATTTAGACAAAGCTGTATTTTTAACAATTGTGTAATTGATTTAATAAAAACCAAAATATGTTTAAATGTGTTAGTGACAAATTATTTTCATGTTTCTGATTAGTTTTTCTGAACTGTTTTTCTAAAACTGCAAGTTTTGATAGTGTTTTCATCTAGGTAAAAATTTGCATTTTTTTTAGAAGTAACTACTGCATAAGAGAGTTGCAGCTCTTTGTACTGAATACCGTTACCACTGCTTTATCCGTATGTTGAATTTTAAGTGTACTGTAAACCAATTATTAGTAGAATTAAGTATTTAAAACAGAATGGGAAGATCATCAGTTTTGTGAAGAGTGTTCAGTATACGCTTAATTTCCAGTTTGGCCATTGGGATTTAAGCACAGGCTTAATATAATCCTACATTTAAGTGGTCTCATGAATTGGATGGTATTTAGGGGTATATAAAATATAATATATTTAGGTGTGTATATAATTGTTGTCCTACACTGGGGTCTACACACTGACTTTCTGTTATGTTTTTACACCATCTGTTGCGAATATGAATTTGCCGCTCCAGGACAACTAGTGACTGTTTAAATTTCTGTCCATCCCTTGTCACTTAAACACTAAACTTCAGCTTTGTTCAAGAAATGTTCCCATGAAGTATTCTTACCCTTGCTTCCCAAATAGTGTGATTAAGAGTGATAAAGCAGATTAAAGGGCTTGCGGCTTTTTCCATTCAAGTCAGCGCAGCTGTAGGTGTTGGTGCTATTGATTTCAGAAAAGCTGGAATCAACTTATGAATAATAATTGAAAGGTCCTGGAGTAATGGATGGAGTGACTGTTATGTAATGTTTACCAAACCTGTGTTGAAACTAGGACTTGTTGTGTAACTTGTCCATGCATTAGCTCCCTCTCTGTAAGGCTGTTGTATCTAACTCGCATGGGGCAGTAACACTCAATAACTTTGCTCAGGAAGTGGTATACCAGAGCAGTGGTATTTCTTGTACAACTGTCCTGACTAAAACTTCAAATTTGCATCTCTTGGTGTTCGGTGCATTTGAAGTCAATGATAGTATTGCATTAGCACAGTTTTTTAAGTATAATTCTTACATGATCATTAAACGATCCAGGGAGTCACTTTTGTGAACTGCATGTTATCCTGCTGCTCCAGCGGTGCAGCTCAGGTGTAACTTTATTCAGTAATTACAAGTTTATAAAAAGTGAAAACCGCTAGCAGTCCCTTGAGTTATTATTTCAGAAACATATTTGTTTAATATCGTTCCCTCTATCTGTGTTTTTAATATGTTCTTCGCCAAATGTATTCTTTTTTATTCAGTATTCTCCCCTGCTCAGTCTTTCCTTTTTGCTCTGCTTGTCCAAACAAAAAAAATAAAAAAAGAATCCTAACAACAAACCCCCAAACCCTACAACTTGTATTTTATTCAGTGACCTTATTCCAGTATGCAGCTTCTAGGTTTGTTTTTTCTTTACTTTGTTGCTTCCTTTTTAAAATTTAACCTTGTGTCTTTTTTGTTCTTCCTTCCCGTCAGTTTGCTGTGGGCAACTGCTAAAGGAAGCTATTGCAGACAACACAAAACTTGGAGAACTCATTAAGCCTTACGTTGACAATGGATATCCAGGTAGGACTTGGTGCTGTCTCATTACGCTGCAGTCACAAATTTGTGGCAAAAAATAAATGATGAGTGAAGTTTGCTTGGTCAGATTCTAACGTAAGTTACATCAGAGTAATCTGGAAGTTGATTCATTCCAGTCATTACCTGTGATTTGTAGCACTGTGTAACAAGTTGGGTTCCTAAGCTCTTCGATATCTTCAAAGAGAATCGTTCTCTGTTCCAGTGAAATTTGGATTTCTTGTCCATATTCCAAAATTTGAATTCCATGTTTTTATCTCTAAATCAGAATCAGAATTCTATGCAGTTTTATAATTTTAAAATGTTTACACTGTTATTTAAAGCACAGTGTTGTGTTGCATGTTTATTTTAAGTGGGCCGTAATGAAGACTCTGCTTTTACCTCTGGGCTTTGACTTTTAGAATACTATTTTCTTCTAATTCCGTGCAAATATTTTAAATTTAGTAATAAAATTCCTTTACACTTAATTTCTATCAGCATTTTTGATTGCAGGAGGGGAGCACCACAGAGCATATCTAAGCATACTTTTTTTTTTTTACTTTTTTTTTCGGGGAAGGCGCTGCAGTGATTTCAGATAAATCATAAATACGTTAAGCTCCTGAGGGCAGCAGCTTAAACCTGCATGTTTGTTTGTTGTCTTGCAAAAGGGTAGCTCTCTGTATGTGGTGGGTATCAAAAATGAGAAAAGACCTGTAGTTTTAAAGGATAAATTGTATTTCAATAGGATGGAAGAATGTTTGTTTTGCCAAATTACAGTGGCCTGGAAGAGGAACTTTCAGTCCTGTTTCTGGCAACAGGCCAAATGGTTACAACGGCACAAATATAAGGAGACAGCCTTCCTGAAGATTGAGCTCAGTTAAGCTTCAGTATTAATGGAATTTTGAGCAAACTCCCCCCTGAGCAAAGAGAAATCTTCATTTTCTTTTATTTTTGGCAAGGAAAGTCATTTGGCCAGGTAGAAAGCTTGAAAGTTCCTTTTTTCTTTTCTTTTCTTTTTTTTTTGCACAATGGCTTAATTCTGAAACTGAATTACACAGATCTGAAACATGAGCCTATAAAATTAACTGAAGTTCCCTTGATACCACACCAAGAGATTCAGTACTTTCCTAAGCGTTTCAAAAAGCCCCTTGGCAGCTTGCAGCTTTGGGTATTCTATCCCTCTGTCAGTCCCTTTATCAAGTCACAGGGTAATACGTTTTAACTCTAAACTTCCTCTAGTCCATGGGCCGCATTTATTTGTAACCCAGTAACGGGGCTCGTCCAATGCGTTAATTTTCTGTGGCAGCCACCACATTGCAGGGACTGGGAACCACGGGAAAGGAAAGTGTCAATCTCTGCAGCCTGAAAGAGGCTCCTCTATAATGTGGGCACAGAGATGTAGGAGAAAATTTTCTAGTTTAGAGATACTGCTGGTCAGAAGGACCGTTTACCTCAAGGGCAAGCTCTCTTAATTGCAATATATCCTAGATCTTCGTATATAGAAATAACTTCTTCACGTGTGCAGTCTGATTGAGCTGGATGTGGCTACGTGTGTGTGCAGTCTAACTCAGAGATCGCTGGAAGCCCTGGGTCTTTTCCATGGTATCCACTAATTTCAGAATCTTACGTGTGTCCTGTAATTTCACTTTCTTCTCATGTCTGTGAAGCAGAGGACAGCTACTGTGAATACCCGACTCTCTAAATCTCTGTTATGGCTGAGATGGGAGTTTGTTCAAAGATAGATCCTTTCAGAGCTTTCTTTACTAAAATACTCTTTCTCTATTTTATAAACTTAATCTTAACCTGAAGTTCCTTAAAGGAGACACCAAAAGCATTCCCAGTAGAGTACAATAATTGCACAGATTGTAATTTTTAGCTAGTCCTAAAAATATGCACATCCTTAGTCCAAGGGAGCTGCTTTCATTTCAGGAAAATGAAATTGAAGTTGTAATTCCTTTCTTCCTCCAAATTAGAAATTATCTTAGAATTAGATTATTTTTTTTAAAAATGGCATGCAAGAATAAAGCTGTACAATGCTTCTGAATGTTAATGGGAATCATAACTATATTTCTGTGCATTGTGCTAAAAAATTCTCCCTTAGTTTTTGCTTGCATGCACGTGTATTTTATTTGGTAAGACATACCACAAAATTAAGGACTGAATAAAAATAAATATTATATAGCAATACCAGAAATAATAAGTTCTGTCATTTTGCTAATCCTCCTCTCCCAGGGATAACAAAGAATGAATTTACATTAGTAAACACTAACAAGAATTCATTACTGCCCTCGCAAGAGACTTGGAGAAAATGAAATAACATGGTGTACTGAAGAGGAAAGATGGGCAAAGAATCTGTGCTGTCTTGCTACAGAGTTACAACCAGGTTAATACAGGGGGAGAATTCTCACACTATTATTGACTACATTCAATTTCAAGAAAATAACATTTGGAAAGAGTTAGTGTAGTCAGTAGAAGACACTGTTATAATTGGGGAAAGCAATTAGAACTTCAAAATTTTCATTGCATTTCTAGTTACACACCAAGTAATCTTAGTTGTTCCTTTGGATGAGTAATCGTGATGTTACCACAGAATACCCTGGAACCACAGACAGACCGTCAGAAACGTGAGATTCACTCAAAGCATTACTAGTCAAAATGAAACTACTGCCATAAAACCTTGTGGGCATGCCTCAGATATTCTTAAAACGCTTGCCCTGGGGGTGCATCTCAGCGTGGTTCCCCTTCTTGTGGACACAAGTGGTTGCATACAATTTAAGATGTGCCAACAGGGTATGTTGTGGTGTCATAAAAAGGCTGAAAACCCAGCTTATTCAAAGCTAGCTCATTATTGAGTTGTTGAGGCTGTCCACTGTCTCTTCTGTTCTAGTTCTGGTTGACTAACTCGAATCTCTTCTTGATTTTAGGATTCACAAACATCCTTTGTATTTTTTCCTGTAGTGCTGCTTCATGTGTACAACATGTATTTCAAGAACAGGCCAGACAATTCTCTTATTCACCCCAGAAGGCAACTCAGTGCATTCCCATTTTTTTTGTATTTTCTGGTGTTTACTGTTTCATAAATACCTTACTCTCTGCTTTATCAAACTTCTCAATTTTGTCTGTGGTGATTTGTTTTGCTTAATGAAGGTAGCATAGATATTTTTGAGTCCATTCATTTTTTAATTCCCAGGACATTCCTAGTCTACAGTTGGTGCACGCTAGATACTGAAAAATGCATTTTCAGTGAAAAGTTCAGCAACCTGACTGCTTTCCATCTATGAGAAACACAAAGTTGTACTTTGGACAACCAGATTGAAACACACACACACTTTTCCTTTAGGATGCTGTGATTTCTACCGAATACTGGGCAATTACTGTGAGCTATACTCCGGGCAGAAAGTTTCCAGCATTGGAATCTAACACCAGTCTTCTGGTCATTAATTCTAGTTAGTTTAGGTCTTGGTCAATAATATTAAATCTAGCACACACCGTTTGCTTGGGCAGCCTAGCAATACTTCCCTTTGGAGTAAGAGGTGAGCGTAGGAGCCAGAACCCTTCCACCAGCAGCAAGACATCTCCAGTTAAGACAACTCCGTTCTCTTTGATTCCTTCTGAAATGTTTGGAACAGACTCTTTCGTAGACTGGTCTTTCCCTTCTAGTAATTCAGGCTACAAGCATATGGAGATCGCCCACCTCTTGGGCTTGATGAAGAATAGGAAAGGTCATCAGTCCACTGAAAAGAAATTTGCACAGATCCTGCCTGTTCAATTTTCTGTGTTTTCATGGTGGAATAGCATGGATTGATCGCTACTGATTAAGCTATCTGTTGGCAAGGCTGCAATGGATGGAGCCAAAAAAAGTGAGATGACGAGAAAACCGCATCAAGAGTTGGGGGAAACCAATGAGATTCGGCTTTTCAGCTGGGAGAACTGCTATTAGTTTGGGTAATTGTTTTTTACAGAGAGCTGATTCACGGAAGACAGATAGCATTGCAGTGTTTGCAGCCTGTTAGAATTGAACACACACACACACACACACACAATCTGTGGAGGTTTTTCCCTGTTCCTTTTTCTATTCTTTAAGCAGTAATATCTGAAGGGATCCCCAATGGCAGTCTGCATGTGGGGGGTAAAATCTGGAATTCCCTAATTTCTCCTATTTTCTAATAAAAACTATTACTGTACAAATGTAGATTTTCCCCTTATTTTATATTGGAATGGTTTTAAAGGGGTGCTTTTTGGTGTAGTCTCTGAAAGTTGGGGTCCCCTGGTGATTGTGATCACAGTCGCACTGAAAGCTGACGGGTTTGGGGGTTTTTTTGACATCAAATTAATATTCTCATCACTAAGTGTGAAGTACAGATTTGACAATAGAGCAGCTTCCTCTTTGTTAAAAACTTGCAAAGAGTTTCAGAGTTGAAAGGCTGAGTAAATCTTTATATCTGAGGAGGTAAGCTTAGTGTTATTTCTTGTTTTTAACAACGCTGTACTGGCGAGCTGCAAGCTGTCTGAACATCGGAGAGAGACCCTTTGGGAGCTCCATTGGTTTTCAGCAAGTCTTTGCATGCAGTGTGTTTGTACTAGCTGAAGACAGCGCATGGCTCTCTAAATAATTTACAAGTTGATTAATAGACTCACATGGGTATAATTAGAAGAGGGAGAGACAGCAGCTACAGTAACGGGTACAGTGCTTGGGGGAACTAGAGACTTTATTTTTTTTAAAGAAACTTTCTAGGGTGCTGGGCGTTTGAAGATAAGTTGGGAAGAGCTCAGTGCCTCTTCTCTTTTGAAGTGGAAATAGGACAGTTTGAATCCGTCGAGTTTAATTTTTCACAAGCTTTAGGGGCCCTGCAGTGCAACTCCCTTTTTATTATTGAAAAAAACTCTCCATTTTCTTTCATTTTTCACACACATACACACACACACACACATGCACACACACTCAGAGCCCAGACAGTACCTAATAAACAAATTTATTTTCTACTTTAAGTTAGTTTTATTATGATCCTATATGATCACCTATAGATGCACCTCAATCACAAATATACTGGGTAAAGTTACAGAGATATTTATGAATACACCATACTTTAATGTATGCATTTTTAAGAAACCTTCACCTCTGTTTGACAATGCTTTTGAAGTAGCTCCATTTTTCAAGTCAAACTTTTGACTTCTCCTCTGGGACTGCTACAAAGGTTTTTTTTTTATGGAAAATAGGTAGCAATCTTTTTTTCCTACTAGGAGAAAATTGGTGGTCAAGAGAACAAAATAAAATTTAAATATATTTTATTTTCTGGTTTAGGTGTCCATATTTTCATAAAAGATGCAAGGTTGTTGAATAGAAAGTTTTACATGAAGCCATATAGGCAGTAAGTTATCTTGTTGCCTAAATTATACTGTTTTAATGTGTTGAATTGCTGCAATATGATACATTAGAGGTCCACTTTTGCTCTGTTTGAAAATCTAGACTATATTTTTCTTTATCCTACAGAGCATGCAACAATCAACAAAACTGCTGTATCTGGCAGGCAGATACTCAGGGATGAAGTAGCACAAGGGGACACTGTCTACAAAGACATTATTAAAGACCACCCCATTTAAAACAAAACCAAAAACCCAACAAAAACACCCACGCCCAAAAGCCAACCCTGGAAGCCAAACCAGACAAAATAAATGTGATTTTATTTAAGAGTCTAGTGCTGTTGTTTTCTGGAGCAACTGTGCCAATCAGTTAGTGGATATGGTCCTGCCTATATAAATTTTAAAAGTCTTCTGATTCTGCAGTGCCATTCACCATGATTATTGTCACGGGAGTGTGGATAGCTCAGCGTTAGGCGTCAGAGCTCACAGGGACAGCGCTGCTGGAGTGACGGGGTAAAACAGGTTGTACGTTAAAATGCATCAGGTGCCCACAGTTCCCGTTTTTGGTCAGCGGGCATCATTGTGCACCACCAAAGTGGTGGATTTGGATGAAGTTGTGGCCCTTGGCCATCCAAGGCCTCATGCTTGTCAAGGGCTTTTAGTGATAAATGCTAAATACTAACCATTTCTATTTATTTTGAACTTCATTGTTGATAATCATTGTTAAAAAACTTAGAACAGTGGTATTTCCTTTCTTGGTACTCTTCTTGTAGCACTGGCTCCTCAGCAAAGGGCTGCTGATGTGAATTCTGTTTGGTTTTTCTGTTTGGAGTTTGGGGATGGGGAAATCACATGCGTTTCTAGTAAGAAAAATGTCAGTTGCATATTGGCAGCCTCCTCTCTTACAGTCTTAGGAATTCAATGTCAAATTCTGGCTTTGGCTCTGTTTCACTGGGTGTCATACGTACAGAATCAGGCTCCTGTATGACTCTTAAATGACCAGCAAAGCGGTTAATACTTCTTTTGTATTGCTTTACAGTTTTGAATGTCCCTTGGACAGGTCTGGTTGGTGTCAAGGAGAGAGAGGACTGGGCAGCTGATCCCACTGTTGGGGATCTAGAGCGCTGTGATACTCTGGAGAAGCTGGAAGAGTAAAAAGAAGTAGTGCAAATACACATTTTATCACTAATTTTAGAAACTTTCAGGTTAGAGACATCCCTTTGAGGTGATTCGGAGTAGCTTTTTGTCTTGCAGGTGGATAAATTGAGGCAGAAAACCTCTTTGATTTGAGCCACGGCGCAGTGAGCGAGTGTGGGTGGGAACCCAGGTGTGTGCGTCTTGACCTTGGTGTCAGCCCACGACATCATCCCCTGGCTCACTGCTAGTCCGTGTGTTAGGCAAATACACATGAACTCTGGCAACATACCAGAGGTTATTTTTAGGAGGAAAAAAGCTTTTTGTGTTTGTATGGTATATACCCAATTTGGATCGAATTTGTGTCGCTAAATCTGAAGACGCCACTAATAGGTAAAGCAGTGTAAAGAATCTTTACATTACTATTTTCTAGTCACTAAACGTGATCAGATATAAATTCCCAAATCTCTGCCTTGGTGCGTGTGAGGAAGCATGATGCACTCCTTTAACTGCATTTCTAAAGGTATTGATTTATCGTGTATTATTTGATCCTGATTTGGGGTTGTATCTGCTTTAAAAATACTCTTTAATACAGCTAATTCCTATTTTAGATTACAAAAAGCTCCAAAAGAAAGAGGCTGTAATATATTTGAAGAGAGGGAATTATCTAAAATGTGGAAATGAAAGATTTTATCATTTTATAGAATTGTTTATGTTGGAAATGACCTTTAAGATCGTGGAGTCCAGTGGTAAAATAATTATTCTGGTTCTTACAGAGAGCCTTTCTCTGCAATGTTGTATCTGTGGATGAGTGAGGTGAGACCGCTTCTGTCAGTTTGCCGTTTGATGACGTTATGAACTGTTGGGTTACTTTGCAAACGCCACGTCAGCACCGTCATTTGCTCTGTTGCCTCTTCATTTGCAACATCAGCTGCGGGGAAAAAACGTAAAATTTTTTTTAAAAATCGGAGAATCCCGGATGCTTTCCAGTTTATCCGACCGTGTCCTTACCGAAGGAGGACTAAGCGGACCTCGGAGCCGTCTCGGTGTCCGTGCACGCCCGGGCTTGGAGCGGCGACA